CCACAAACCTCTGAAATGGCATGACACCAGTTATCAATAAAAGACCCCTATTGTGCCTATAAATAAAGGTTTTCAAGGCACTTGTTAAATTTCGTTATCCAAAAGGCCGAAAGAGGAAAATTGTGCCTTCATCGTTACAAAGGAAAAATTTCTCTGTTTTTTTTTTAAATAGTTCATATGAAAATGAACCCATAAATCCTTCAGCTACTAACGCTACCAAGAAAAATCACTCTGCAACTAACAATGATATCTTCACAACTACCCGTAATAATCCCTGAAAAATCATCTCAATCTGAGAAATTTTGATTTACCGCCAAAATGATTTGTGACCATTTCAATTATGACAGTGGTTAAAGATTTAAGGACTTTTAAACGTCCTAAATCAAGGAGTTCCGGTGAAGATATGGACTAGTGTGTTTATCATGGTTATTACGTAACAGAGCCACGAAGGCTGTTAATATCATCAAATAGGCTGTGATATCTGCACGCTCAGTATTTCCTAGCAGCAACAAAATCTGTTGCTATAAGAAGAATTATAATCGTACTTTCCTCGCGATCAAAACTTGATGAACTAATCTTGGATTTCAACATGTGCTTGGGCTTTGGGCTTTTGTGTCCTCTCGTTGCCAAAATTGCTGATATATAGACGCTTGTCGAACGCACAAGTTACTGAATCGGTGTATGACTAAAGGTCAGAGAAAAATAGATCGAAACTGTACTGACGCTTACATATATCTTGAGGAATATTAAACTGCAGTTTCTTTACAATTAGTTCACTGCGTTTTAGCCGAGGCTATTTTTACTGCTGAGTGTATTCAGTTAATTGTTGTGCCGCTGAAGCGTAGAGACAGACCCCCTTTGTGGTATGCACACGCAAATGTGCACTATAAATGTGATTCAAACGACCTCGACCCCAGAAAGACTTGACTTTCGAAGACATGTGAAAGGGCGAGACGAGGGCATTCGTGAACGATGACATTAACTGGTAATTTATTGTGAAACACAGACAGTATTCAATCGACTACTCATTTACTTTGTTATGCGTGACTGCACTGTTTCGGATCGTATTGCGCATAACTATTGGACCTCATGTCGATTATATAAACATTTGCATTCAATAACACTGGAAAAGAAAATATTTCAAGTCCTCGTAACTTCAAGTCAAGTTGGCAATGACTAAGATATATCGTCCAGCTTATTGAAAACGGTTTTAATGGCAGATATAATCCCACGATATATCATTAATTCATTGATTCTAAACCTGGCTGAATAAGCCGAAGGGCAAGGATAATATGTCCTTTCCACCCTATGAACTTAAAATAGATGTGAAGAATTCTAAGAATACTGAGTTGTAGACAACAATACCTTTTAATCTTCTGGAACATCTTAAATTATATTTAGATTTGAATGGTTCGCTTGTGTGAGATTCAGAAAAAAATATGGAGAAGCTTTTTAGTCTTGACTTAATTTTTTTCCTTCGGCCTGCTGCTGATATGATACTCCAGTATCATAGTACCCAGGGGAGTTTTCTCGTAGATCACGGTTTATCTCGGACTTGATCCATCACTTGTACGCGTCATAGCCAGTTTTTCATAGCTTGATTTTTGTATTTCACATAAATATGGTAAAAGCGGTCGACCAGTTTTCCTCAATGAGTAAATACTGATCACTAATGTAAGCTTTAAAGGTGAAGAAGTTATCAATCACTTCATCAAATCAAGAACCTATCGAAAGCGGTAACAGCAAGAGAAAATAATGGCATTATTCTCTCTTGGTAACAGTCGTGACACTTGCATTTACTTGTAACAGTTGTGACACTTGCATTTGATTTGTTTTACTGCGCATCTTTCTTCGTTTGTTGCTGTTTTGTCGGTTCATCTGATTGTCTGAGCTCGTGATGCCACGTATCTTTCAAGCAGTTGCATCTCGTACAAAATAAAACTGGAGAGTCTGAACTCGAAAGCCACCGACAATGATCATGATGAACTTCTGTGAAAATAATAATCCACCCTAAATGCAATACATGACTCCAGAGAGAAAGGGAGAGTGGACAGAAGAGACGTAGGAATGTACCGCTCGAAGAACGAAAAAACGAGTCAAACGAACTAATCTACAATCAATCAGTCAGCTTATTTGGTGAAATTCACGCGTTGTCTTCGACTGGATTCGATAAATAAGCATTTCAGAGTTCCATAATAACGAAAAGCGTTGAAGGACGGTACGTTTCGGCAGGTAGGGGTAGACACAAAGGATATTCTAACTGTATGAGAGCCCAAAACGTTCCATTTCCCCAAGCATTGTTAAAACTGTCCTCCAAAATCCATACCCGTTTTCAGTTCCGGCTTCAGAGAGGTTTTCATGACACGGTTTCTAAATGCAGTACGCTTTGTTGCAGCGTGTCCCAAAGCAGAAAGAAGAAATGGAACATTAGGAATCGCACAAAAATTTAGCTCAAACTTTGTTGTTCTACCACTAAATTGGATGTTAAAAGAAAAACAAGTTTACCAGCTGCCTTGATCTCTAAATAAACCACATTTACATATGCCAATCCCCTCCTCTCCCCTCCCCTGACCAATTCAGAGGCCCTGTGTTTGGAAAACTACAGCCAGAGGAGGAAGCCCTAGGAACTCTGATTGTCCAGGATTTCACCGATGATAGTTTTTTGCCGAAATGGTTCGGGTGAAGCAATTTCAATTTCCCTCTTTTTAAAATTGTAGTTCAACGCTCGTCATAAGAGACCATGACTTATTAAGATTATATCTTTCAAAAGGACCGCAAACAAAACTGCTGACAGTGTGCACAGCGTTATAAAAGATCTGATCAGATAAATATATAAATAACAGAACATTGAGCGGAAGGAACTTCACATCTAAGACATATTTTTTCTCCGAATAATTTGATACATTTTGAACATTAACTAACAAACAAAACATTACAGCCGATTTCCTCTAGCATTATCTCGAAGCTTCTTCGCATAATATCTTTGGTGTAGTCTTACACTGCGGATCAGAATACAAAGCAGCAAGGTATTAAACTCGAAGCATAGAATCCGAAATTTTCTTACATTTTAGGTACTGATATTGCATTAACAAACCGTATGATATTTTCTGTTTGAACGTGAGAGAGAAATATTCCATCGACAGAGTATTTAGGTCATTCTTGTTTCGATAATACATGAGTTCGTTCGGTGAAAATGGTTTGTTTAAAAGAGACCCAAACTCACATATGAACACATTCTTTTCTCATTCTCCTCTCATGACTGTATCACATTCATCTGTCAACAGGCTTATGCAAAACAATAGGCTGTTCATTTAGGACTCCCAACTGCGCATGTCACTCTGAAGTGACAAGCCATGCACTGCGGATAAGGGCAGTCAGGCGTGTGAAGGCAGCCCAGTGTTAGGAGGACGTTTGAGAGAAAAGGTGAGTTTGATTTTGGCATATTTTCAGTGGTTTTTGATTACCAAAACGACCTGAATAATGCAGTTATACCGCTAATACGTAGAAATGCTGAGAACTACTGCTAAACCGCTTGAAACCTTTCTTAAATTAGACATGCAACACAGATTAGTTCACTTAAGTGTTAAACACGTTGAAGTTAGGTGGTATTGAAACCGAGCTCAGATCTTGTCTTGATAGTGCGTCAGTCGTGAAATTTTTCCTTCACCTTCGCTTCTAGAGCTAGAGAGAGAAAACTTCGGTTTCGTAGAGGTCAAATTCCTCAGATTCAGATGATTTTAAAGACACTGACATGTAACACAGACTTTAATAACAGAATGATCTGTGGTAGTGGAATGACTCATAGAATCGTATTCCTACCACCAAAGTTCGTCAAATTGATACTCTATGAAGGTAACAACAATGTTTGCTATTCGATACATTAATCCGAACAGAAGGCAGTGCTTTTTTTTTTATAATTTTGGCTGAACACTGCGTTGCATAAGCGGCTTTGTTTTGTGATACGAGACATAATTAACAACACATGTAGCGCCAGTAACGAATGCAAATGAAGCTGTCAAACAAACTGGAAGGTCAGCCGCAATGATAACCGCGCCACAGGAATAGCGGTAACCTTTTAGGTCTTGCGTGTCAGCAACAGAGCTTATATGACAACTTCTAGCTTTCGAGTCAGTGCATTCTGTATATGGTTGGTGGATCTGCAAACAACTACTTCAAATCTGTCCCTTGTCGATCAGGTTGGATTGTTCTCTCCAAAATAGAAATCCACAGCGAATCATAACGATTACGAACACTCCGTTTTGAGCAAACAATACAAATTCTACATGTGTGCATGCCTTTTTTTGCGGAAAATATGCTTAATTTTTTGTGTTCTTCCCTAGTCTTGTTTTGTTTCGATAAACGTACTAAAGTTTTTTGATTCTGCTCCATAGCAACAAGTGTGAGAGCAAAGAATGCCCCGAGGCCAAGAATTTTGACCTTTTTTCGCTTGAGCTGATAACATTCTCTGCAATATAATACACATAGATAGTTCAGGCATTAAACAAAACATACTGCTGCGTGTGACAATATCAACGTTTTTTTTATTTTTTTGCAACTCATCTCATGATTTGATTTGTCTTTCTGAATCAGCGCTAATGAAAGGTATTGTCATTGCGTGATTCCAGAGCACCTCTCTAAATTCTAATTTGAACTTTCATTTCCATACGTTTAACTCCATCAATTCCAAAATTATATCTAATATGTTTTTATTTCTTCCTTAACATTGGCCATCTTAGCGACTCATGCAAGCGACTCAGTTTTGTAATGATCGTGTTTTCCTTCAATTCTTCCAAAGAGTTTGGTTAACACATTGCTAGGACGCCAAATAACCCCGAAGGCGCTTCGTATAAGATAACAAAAAATTTGCATAATGGCCTTTTGAAGTGCCTTCATTTATTTTAACGAAAACAAGATAGAACAAAAGAATAGCAAGACAAAAGAAACTTGACCTGCTGAAGCCAGAGACTTGTGTTGTTGTATCACCAACGAGTTTCGAGTTACTGGTAAGTTGTATGGAAAAAATCTCCTTACATTAGCTGTCCAAGCGGCGCGGCTTGACACAAAATGATAACGACATGGGGCGAATAGGTCAGTAAAAGTTTCAAGAACATCATCTTTGCCCCAAAGCTCTCTGAAAGTAGGTTGGCCAATATGCTCCACCACCGGAATATTCAACTTTAAAAATGGTATTAATTAGCATTATCGCGACTTAAATGTGATGTACACTAAATATCCTTTAAACTCGAAGACTATTGTTACCGCTTGGAAAATGACTGGTACCATTTAAACAATGGTCAAAATGTCACTCGGAGAATTATAAGTAATTAATTGGGTGCTAGGTCCGTAAATATTCTTCCACGTCGATTCAGAATAAGACACGAACACCTTTGCTTGTTTATTCGTGAAATCGGTCACGCGGAGGCGCGAAATATTCCATATTTCGCCTACAACTAACCGCGTTGCGCTGGAAAAGATGTTACAAGTGAGCACGTAGATCATGTGGCCAAACGACTTAGTTAAGATAGAGTCTGTTTTATACAAATGTGTAAAGAAGTCTTCGAAATTCTGACAGATTTTTCATTATTAGCCCTTCGAAACTTCGGTAAGTGTTTTATCTCGTGGGAATTAGTGGGCGAATATCGGCCGCTCTCGTTTTGCCAGTTACTGGCGTCGCTTTTCTTGACATTAGCACAAAGTTTAAGTTATTTAGTGCTCGCGGAGAGCTTTACAACCTCGAGATCGAAGCTATTCCGTTAAAAAGACCATACATTGTGTTATTTGTATTAAAGGGAGTTCATCTAACTGAAATCAAATTAAAGGGAGGAATGTTAACACTCGATATTGAAACCCCTAAAGAAATTCGTGGCCGGCACAACGCACAAAAACACATATTCTTATTTACAGTCTCAGTATAGGTTTACGAGGCGTTCCACGACGCGTCAGAAACGGAATTGATTGAATGTTTACCCTTCCGAACGTTACGACAACAGGCACAGCTAGTGCAGATGGCCTGTTAAGGTTTGAATGGAGTTGATATGCTATGAATGGTAATGGCTTTCAGCAGTATGTTACTAACACCTGCAGATGTGCTCTCATTAACCTTCTTAACTCAGTAAAAATAAAAATCATTGTTGAAGGTCAAGGATGACGTGCAAATGCAAATAGTTTTACAGCGAACTACGATCCCTTTACTCTTTACTTTAAGCTCTCTCGTTGTTGTTGTTTTAAGGTGTCAGTGACCCTTAAGGGTATTTATTTACCCAATAATTAGTAAGAAAATTCAGGAAATGTTTCTACGATTTGAGTATTTCACCAAACCGATCTCTGTAGATTTTTTACTTGCTCATTTATCGGCGCCAAATAAACGGTGCGCACGTCAAATATGCTTAAATCTTATCTTAAGCACTTAGCTTAAAATAGTTAGCAAAACCATTATAATGCAATTTTAGCGCTGGAATAAATAAGGATTTAGCCAACTGCCCTCATTGTTTCTGCGTTTATGTTGACTTTTAAGGTCAGAAAACTCTAGCAGATAATTTGTAACGACACAAGGCAGATACGGATGGTAACTGAAGGACTATTCGCTCCGTATAGAATTACATGAGGAATATTTCAAAAAAATTTGTTCCTCGCGATCGAATTTTTCTGACCGAAGAAGTCGCATAAAGTCGACTTCTTTGCGAAGTTATTCCGACCTTTTGTTCAAATATCCACCTTTAAGACTGACAAAGCCTGTTTGCCTTCTTAGACAAAAGAACAATATCTGGAATCATTAAAGCGTTGGGATTTGTTAAGATATTTGGTTGTTGACTTCGTCATGTTCATCGATGAAAGTAGTCAGGCATCCTTTAACTATTTCCTCTCTTATTCACGTTTCAGATCACCTTTGACATCCGACTTTGACTATTTTGTCGTTCGCTGTTATCAGGACAGGAAAAAGAAGAACTACCATCTGAAATAACTTTCGTCTTTGAGGGTTTTGTGAGTGTTTACAATATGTATTCTTTGAATGACATGCCGATTGGCTGTGTAAAGATTGAAATTCCAGAAAATGGACATCAAATAATTTCTACGTGTGAGATGCCAGTGGTTAAGGTGGAAATATCAGAGGCACAGAGCAATACAATCAGTCACCAAACCATTTCAATGTCAAGGGAATCAATCCAAGAAATACCCTTACTTAGAGACGTAAACACTCAAGAAGATATACTCAACATACAAATTAGCAACGTGCAAGGAGCAATGTGTGATCAAATTGTGGAGAACAATGTTATGCCCGTCTATCAGATCGAAAATCCAGTGGATGGACTGACCAGCCAAGGAGAGCAATCTCCAACGTTTGATTTCGTCAACCAGGATAAAGTCTCGGCTGTAGGACATTTCCATGAGGAAAAACCTCCCGATCATTTGATTTCACACGAAAACGGGTTTACTGCTGAGGTTGATATTCCGTCTCAAGTTAACAATTCGCCAGTTTATGATAGGGAGACATTAAATAAGATCGAAAAGGAAGAAAAGGAGATCCCAATCCAGCAGCATAATCCCAGCGAGAGAGCTCACTGCTATCAACAGAACCACCACACGAGTAGCAATTCAGCACACCAACTTGATAGCCAAGGGTCTTTCTATAAAAATGGAACCTCTGAGAAGAGTACATCTAACCAAATGGATACCAACGGCTCGCCCTCATCAGCTTCTCTGAAATCCACTGTGCCTCTTTACCACTTTGAAGAAGTAACGACTCCCCAAACAGGAGACTGGGCAAAGGATAAGAATAATGAGATCAAGTACTACAATGGTATGCCAATGTACCCTCGTGGATACAGCTTTCAAGAATTTCAACAAAGAATTCCAGCGTGGCCAACAGAATCCCGTGATTTGGTTCCAAACAACCAGAAGGCAAGGAATTGTAATTGTAGCTGCCATGGGCAAAATATCCCATCTCGTCAATATCCAGCAGTAGATTTGAAGAACCCTCGACCCTCAGTTATCATGGTCCCTGTTGGCTGGAGCAGCAATGATCCTGGGATGTCTCATCTACCACTGGAGGTAACAAAATGTGGAATTAGCTTGAGACAGAGGGACGTTTCTACTCAGTATTATGACAGCGAAGTGACATCCCACTGAAAACTGATCCAAAAGTGTCTGAAATTGAGGTGTAACTTCTTAGCCAACATAGTCACTGGATGCAAAAATTGAATTGAATGAGGACAATCCTTTCTGCCCATTCACAAATTCTTTCAGTAAACTTTCTTGATGAGTGCTGCATCTTTGGAAAACACTTATCCATTAAGAATTGTCTAAGAATAGAAATGTCTTAAATTGAAGTGGGACTTTTTGGCCCATAAAGTCATACTGTCAGATTTTTGTAAAACACTTATTGATGTGTCAGTATCTTAGATGATGTTTCCTTCGTTATCACACGCGGATAAAATTTCTTAATGTTCATAATCCACAGATCATCTTTAAGCTTGGGAGTTCAATCATGTAAATGACCACAATCTTTCCTCTTGCCTAAAAACAGGTTGATACATCGACTCACAAGCTGAATTCACAGAATCAAGGAGGAAACTGGTCCAACAGAGATGGCTTGAATAATAGTATGGTATGTGATTGTTTCTGAAATGTTACGATGTAGGCTTATTTTCACATAGTAATGTCTGTCATGTAATGTATCTATTTCACCAAGTAATTTTAATGATTTCCAAAAGTGTAGAAGAGCTAAACGAGGTTTGCATGTGTGAACTCCTTATTTGGTCGATTTCCAGTCCTTAAAGCACTTAAAGGAAAACAAAGCCCACATATGTAAAAATGGGGTATGTGTTCCTTTGTCTGAATGTATTTGTCAGACCTGTTAACCCTTTGACTCCCAAGATCTCATTAGTAATTCTCCTAACTGTCTGCCATAAAATTCTTATGATGTCAATTTGGAGAATTTGGTATTGGATCAATTAATAATCCCCTAATTGATATTTTACTTTATTCTCATCACATCTATGCTTGATATTGTATTGATATTGTAAGGAGAAATTCACTTTTCGTCACTCATGGGAGGTAAATGGTTAAAGGAGCTTTTTGGTTGTTCCCAGGATTACTCGGACGATTCAGATTCTTCTGATGATGATGAAAACGGAAAAAGAGACAAGTATTTCCGAAAGGAGATCGATGGTACTACAGCAAGATTTAAGTTGTCCAAAGAGGACTGGGCAAGAATTCCGATCAACACATTCCCCAGCGGTGGCCGATTGTTGAGTGGCGACTGGACACGAATCTTCCTCAGCAAAGTCAAAGAAAGCAACCCATGGTGCAGTTTACGCTTCAAAAATAATCACGTGAGATCAGAAAACTCTCGGAAAATCCACTCAGCAGTATTCTTCAGGGGAGGCGCGGAATGCAAGCGACCAGAATGCAACGTGAAGGTGCGATTTGTGATCCGGAAAGAAAGAGGAAAACATGTGGAGGTGACCTACCTGGGAAATATTTGCCACAGCAGTCAGCCCGGGGTAAGTGACGTCACAAGTGATAAAAGAGGAATGAAACGTGATCGTCGAACTTACTCGACTTGAACTCAGTTTCAGCCATTCACACATTAGTCAAACTATTCAAATACAAGAAATTGATTTGTTCGTATACAATTTTTTTGAAAATCTATTATCATGTGTCTATGGAAAAATTTTTCGCCTGAAAGAAGGTAAATATCCATTCCCTTTACCGGCCTTTACCGTAGGCGAATAATTGTTTCAGAATATACCAGAAAAGGACCAAAATACTAGTTTGTTTAGTTTCTGTTTATATATATATATATAAATATATATATATAAGAAATAAATTGTTAATCATCCCGACTGTAACTTCAATTAGAAATTCATTCACAGTCAAGCAGAAGAGGGATTAGTTGAGGGAAAGTTTTCAGCTTTTCGATACTGTCTTGAAACAAGTCCAGATTCTCTCTTTATAGGTTCCATGTTAGGAAATGTCTAACGAATAGAATGGAGATTTATCGATCATATTGAGTGCGATGGAGTAAAACGCCTCTTAAAATTTGTCAGATTCATTCACTGAATAGCAAGACTATTCTTTCTGCTAAAAAAATTTCTATGGGTGATATTTTTTAAAAAACTATTGTTGCACTTTGCAAGAAAGTTAACACCAAAGTAGTTGGTTTTTCTTGTGCTACTAGGTAACTTTAAAATTGTCTTTTGATATTTATGAAACTCAAATTTATGATATACGTACAGCATTCTGTATTCCTCACAAGAATTATTACAAAGAAACCTTATTTTGAAGCAGAGAGTTCTCGATACTTAAAATCTATTTTCACACATTCAGATGCCGAAATGTAATAATGCTGCCCTCTATTTTCAATTGTATCACCGGCATATTTCTGTAATGTATTCACCCCTCAAATATTTACCTCTATATTTATATACTACAAATCTAAATTGTGATTTAGGTGAATTAGTGAACACCAAAACCTAATGATTATTTACAGAAGCATTTTTGTATCCCTATATATTGATATTGTAGTATTAGGTGTTTTACACATTTACAAAGACCCAAATCACAAAGTTTTGAAAGGTGCTTCAAAATAGGTTTGTAAATGGCACATATGTTAGACAAATGTGCCAGCATTATACGAGTTTAGACAAGCCTTCAGATTTACGAGACAATCTGAATTAAAGAACAATTTATACTCTTTCTTAAATCATGTTGCTGTTTTGCCTTATACTTGTAGTAACTCGATGGGCTTAGCCGTTTTCATGGCTAAAACTATACCTAGTTTTTTGTTATTGTTATCGGGGACCCTTCGACGATAAAAAGATTCAAATTAAATCCAAAGCTGGCAGAATTATAACTTTTCTGATTTCCTCAGCAGGATACAGAACGAACCGTAAAACTTTGTCCAGCAACGAGGGTAGACTGATCTAATCTTAAGGAATCTAAAGAAGACGCTCCATTTAAGTTCAAAACTAACAAGACGACTTTGACTGCTGAGAATCTGACGTTCGCACCACACTTTGCCCGCACACGTGTTTTTGGGAAATGCGCGCTAAGAAACTCGGAAAATTACCCAGGTGTCCCTTGTGGCTTAGCGTTAGCTACAGTTATGCTTTGTTTTGCTTTCTGTTTTGTTTTACCAATAGGGATTTCCACACCAGACATTGGCGCATAGTCGTGCAGGCTAAGTACAGATATGACTGCTTGGGTCTCTTGCCACTTGCTATCGCTTTACGCTCCGTTTGTCAGCGGTTTTCTTGCGGTTTACATGCAATTCGCTCACGATTCGCTTGCGACATGCTTGGCGAAAAGGTTCCCTGTTTTAAACATGTTTTAACAATAACAATGAATTAAACATCTTGAAGTGCACTCTTTCCTTTACTCTAAAAGAAAACAGCTGTGACTTGATTACAATTTACAAACGTCAACTAATTTGCAAGTAATACAATACCATTAAAAAAACTAACAAATTACTCAGTGTTCCAAATGATCATTCTGACGTTTAAAAAATGATAGACTCCATGAAACTCCTAAAAACCTGTCAAAACTCCGAGACGCTTATGAAAGTTAAAAAAGAATAAATGTCTAGATTCTTCCACTTGATGGAAGTGAAAACTCACTGGTTACAGTAACACACTTTATATGTTAAATGTTTGAATTACTTAGCTGCTTGAGAAAGACCCAAGGGCTCAAAACATCATCTGAAACTCGTTTTGGTCGAAAAACCAGGAACTTTGGGATCAAGCAGCAAGCAAAAACAAAATGAAAACAAGTAGAGTCGTGAAAATTATTCTGTCGAATTCTGCTTTGGAAGCCGTGCTGTAAACTGTTGGCTTTTCTATTGAACAAAAAACGGAAAAAAAAAAAACATCAAGACTTCACACTTTAATCCCTAAATTTACATTAGTTTCAAACTTCCAATAAACACGTTAAACACAATTAACTAACAACAACAACAACAAAAGAATTAAAGACAAGACTCGAAAAGTATTATCAAGTCATTTACTTAACAGGGCGTAGTTAACAGCCAAGTAAGTGTCGTTTTAAAATCAATGCACAAGTGTCTAAGCGAGCGTGCTAATGAAGAATGAGCACTTACCAGTCGCTTCCATGACTGAGAAAAGTGTTTCCATTCCGCCTGCCAAGTGATTGTTCACGTGACAGTGTAGTAACCAGTCTCCTACGCTGTCGGGCATCATTTCCACGGTAGCATAGACTCCTGGGAAAATGTCATATACGTCCTCTCGGTGCATTGTGGTCGATTTCTGCGGTAGAGAGAAAGGAAACAGAACCAAACATCCCAGCTAGAGAAACCACGTAGTATAAGAGAACAAGAGCGTTATATTCGAAAGGGTTTGCCGAGGTTTTAGACAGTCGATGTATTCAATGCAACAGGAGCCTTTCAATGGGTTCCTAATATAATCAAAACAAGTGAGTCACTTAAGGTATCGAATTTTTTTTTTCAATCTGTTATCCTCTATTGAAGCTTATCACTATTCAAAAATCAACGTTCAGACAACAAATTAACCTCGAACTCAGATCCTGCCGTGTAACTGGCTGTGGAAGGTCTAGGTACGAGAATAATGACAAGTTTCAACGAGTGTTTTTCCTGGACAATGGCTCAATGTTCTTTGCTTTTTTTCTAATCATAAATGGCCCTAAGTATGTGGAGTTTAGCGGGAGTATTGTCTGCATCTGTTTGACATCCCCTAAGAGACCTTTCAGCCTTTTTTTAAGTGGGCGAAAGGGGGGAGGAGAAAGGAGGGGGTTTTTGTTATTGTTATCGGGGACCCTTCGACGATAAATAGATTCAAATAGATTCAAAGAATTTTTTTAGTTGTGTAAAGATAAAATTTATCTGATCCTCCCATAAGGCTCAGTTGTATTCTCATGCCCCCCCCTCATAAGGCTCTGTTATATTCTTATGACCCCCTCCCCTAAGGCTCTGTTAAATTCTAATGACCCCTCCCCTCAGTAAGGCTCGGCCATTTTGTAATGATCCCCTCCCATAGGGCTCTGAAATATTCTGATGATCCTCTCCCCATAACGCCCTGCTGTATTCTTATGACCTTCCCCTCCCCAAATAAGGCTCTGTTATTTTCTTGCGATCCCATCCCATAAGGTTCTGTTTTATTCTTATGACCCCCTCACATAAGGCTCTGTTATATTCTGATCCCCCTCTCATAAGGCTCTGTTATATTCTGACCCCCCTCAAATAAGCTCTGTTATATTCTGATCCCCCTCTCATAGGGCCCTGTTGCATTGTTGACCCCCTCTCATGAGGCTCTGTTATATTCTGATCCACCTCCCATAAGGCTCTGTTATATTCTGATCCCCCTCCCATAGGGCCCTGTTGTATTGTTGACCCCCTCCCATAAGGCTCTGTTATATTCTGATCCCCCTCTCATAAGGCTCTGTTATATTCTGATCCTCCTCTCAAAGGCTCTGTTATATTCTGATCCCCCTCTTATAAGGCTCTGTTATATTCTGATCCCCTTGCCATAAGGCTCTGTTATATTCTGATCCCCCTCTTATAAGGCTCTGTTATATTCTGATCCCCCTCTCAAAGGCTCTGTTATATTCTGATCCCCCTCTTATAAGGCTCTGTTATATTCTGATCCCCCTCTCATAAGGTTCTGTTATATTCTGATCCCCCTGCCATAAGGCTCTGTTATATTCTGATCCCCCTCTCATAAGGCTCTGTTATATTCTGATCCCCTTCTCAAAGGCTCTGTTATATTCTGATCCCCCTCTTATAAGGCTCTGTTATATTCTGATCCCCCTCTCACAAGGCTCTGTTATATTCTGATCCCCCTCTCATAAGGCTCTGTTATATTCTGATCCCCCTCTTATAAGGCTCTGTTATATTCTGATCCCCCTCTTATAAGGCTCTGTTATATTCTGATCCCCCTCTCATAAGGCTCTGTTATATTCTGATCCCCCTCTCATAAGGCTCTGTTATATTCTGATCCCCCTCTCATAAGGCTCTGTTATATTCTGATCCCCCTCTCATAAGGCTCTGTTATATTCTGATCCCCCTCTTATAAGGCTCTGTTATATTCTGATCCCCCTCTCATAAGGCTCTGTTATATTCTGATCCCCCTCTCATAAGGTTCTGTTATATTCTGATCCCCCTCTTATAAGGCTCTGTTATATTCTGATCCCCCTCTCATAAGGCGCCGTTATATTCTGATCCCCCTGCCATAAGGCTCTGTTATATTCTGATCCCCCTGCCATAAGGCTCTGTTATATTCTGACCCCCCTCCCCATGAGGCTCTGAGATATTCTTATGATCCCTTCCCACAAGGCTCCTTTAGTTCTAATGATCCCCTCCCCTTAAGGCTTTGTTGTATTTTTATGATCTCCCCCCCCCATAAGTTTCTGTTGTATTCTTATGATCTCCCCCCCCATAAGTTTCTGTTATATTCTTATGATCTTCCCCCCCATAAGTTTCTGTTGTATTCTTATGATCTCCCCCCCCCTTATAAGTTTCTATTATATTCTTATGATCTCCCCCTCCCCTATAAGTTTCTATTATATTCTTATGAATCCCCCCTCCCATTGGCGGTTAATTTCATATTGTCTCTCCTTTAGACTCTGTTGGCCACGACTGATCTCCACTCCCTTCCCCCTGAAAACTAAGCGATCCCGGCAAAATCCTCGAATCCCCCCCCCCCTCCACTTCACTACCCCACCCAGGCAAGAATGACTGGTGACTTAATCTTCAAGGATACAACCCATAGGTGTTATTACTGTGTCTTACATAAAGGAAGGTCTGTCCATGAAAATGTACTGTGTGGACATCTGTCAAGTCTCCAAGACCCATTAGATACCATTCCACCTTCTCTCCTTTGTACATTTCAAGGCCTTGTAAATTTCCATACAGAAAACCATTGATTGCGTAGTTCTGGTTGCTCAATTGGAACCCAGGATCGCTCTTCAGTTCATCAATAGGACCTGGATCCGAGCAGTAGTCATTAATGTTATCGTCCAGATACCAGCTCCTGTTTTCGTCAAATGTGGCGAAAAGCAGAAAGAACTCTCGATCCACGCCCCGACGAGAATTTTCTTCTGTAAGTGTTCCCTGTTGTTGAAAGAAAAATCAAAAACAAAAAGATTCCATTTTCCCGAATGTCTGTTCCGCTGAAGATCATAAAAAGCCCCCGTAAAAAAAGGGAAAATACGCTTTTTTTCGGCAAAGTTTAACACAAAGAAAGTCAAAATTGAAGCTTCAATTTAGCACTCTGATTAAGTGTCATTATCCGCATTGTTGGATCACTGTATACCTTTTTACAAACAAGAAGCGGTCCAACCAGTCCGGTGTAGAAGTCTGTTACCGCATGTGCATCAGAGAAGTATGCCCACGCCAAACAGTCGTCTTCATTCGGTGTTGGTCCTGCTCGCTCAGGGACTTGCCACACATATTTGAACTGCATCCCAGGGGCGACTGCGTTATCGTTTTTGTCATCCCCTGTGGTCCCATCTTGATAATTCGAACCTTCATACTTTTTCCTGTCAAAAAGATATAATGGAGCAAAAATTTGAAGTAAAACAGCTCTCCGCAAAACAAGAATCTGAATAAGAGAGTTAATTTCTTGACCCACGCCTAGCTAAAGTTCACCATAATAGTTTTTTCAGTTCGTTTCTGGCCAATCCAAAGTTCCAAGGGAAGTCGATCGGACGACATTATCAAGAGCAATTGTGAAGTCTGATGCCAAGGCTATGAGCCGCGATAAGAAAATAGAAAACAAGTTAATTGAATATCAAGCTGTCCTTGCTTACTTGTAGAATAATCCATCGGGATGAATCGAATAACTTTTCGTAGCCATATTCTTCAATACAACCTCCACTGTGTCTCCAATCTCCGCTCTAATGATTGGCCCCATAATTCCAAGGTGTTTTTCATAGTCAGTCTTTCTTTCCTTCTTCGTTGTAAAGGTGTCATCTGTAAATTCATGGAAACGCGCTTTCTTGTATTTATGACCGATGCGTTTTGGACCATTAGTGGTGTATGATTTGGCTTCGCTGAAAATAAACGTGAAATTAGAAATTTAATTTACATTGACTGAACGGAAAAAATAAGTGTATATGTGGAATAAAAGGTCTATTAAGTACTTAAGATGGTCTATGTAATAATTATAATATAACGCGATATTTATCAAGTTTCAGGAGCTTCAAAAGATCTCTAGCTGAACAAAAATTTTGGAATCTGGAATCTATTTGTTATTAGTTTTAAGTCAAACGGAACAAAACAAGTGGTTCATTTGATGTCAGTCTATAATTATATATATATATATATATATATATATATATACCGCAAGTTCTGTCTGACGAGCGCTTAGGCGCGAAACTCAGAGTAACAGAGAATCGATGCGTCCCCTTTGATTCTTTCACTTATATATACCCAGCTCTGCTACCACAGCATTGAGCACTTTATGCCAAGGTAGACTCTACCCTCACATTTGTATATATATATATATAGGCCTACAAAACGCTGTCAAGTGACTGTTTATGTGCTACAAAGGTTGATAAACATTCAAGAAACTCGCATAAATTGAAGTTTTCTATCAAATCGTTGATTACATTTTTCTCAAAAAATGCTCATGTAGGCAAAAATTTCTCGAGTTTGCTAGAACCGCAAAAAGCTGCTCCAAATGTCAAAACTTGCTCAAAAGCTACCACAACCGGGACAGGTCTAACGACGAGACTCAACGGCTTTATGGGTACATATATACATGATAACCACAATTAGTTGCACGTGGTAAATGACAGAAGCCATCCACGCTTTCTTGGAGGGAAAGAATTATCATGAACCAAGATTTGCCATGAATAATGGAAAAAGTGAAGCACTGTTTCTGTAAGTGTGCTAACATTTCCCATGAAGCCGCAAGGTCTCATCGTTCATGGATGATGCTTTTTAGGCGTAAGTGTTTTTGCAATCGGGTGTTTATCTCAGCAGTGAACCACTCACTCGCTTTCTTCCAGTGGTTTTCCTCCTAAGATGTCTCGACCAGTAGGTGCATAGTCCCAGATCTCCTCCACAGCAGCGATATAGTAACGCCTCACCTTACCAGTAGTCTGCTCTGATGAAGAGTTCCCACAATTGTCAAGGACCGTGTATTTTGTTTGCATTCCAAGAGTTAAATGACTTGTTGTCTTGCAAACTATTTCCCATTGCCCAGGGTCATCTGGAGTCATGTAAACTGTTGCAAAAGATCCTATGGACAGCAAACAAAAACATTTGCAGTGGTTTCTGAAGATTCGGTCACTTCGAAAACAAATAATATTTTGTTAGAATGAGTTAATCACTCATAAAGATTGATGCCACTTCAAAAGCTAAGCAGCCTCTCTGAACTTGTTCCTTTTTTTCATTGCCTTTTCAAATCAGGCTATTTACAACAACTACATGAATTAGGCGTACTTTACAACTGAAGACTGAAGATTGCAACAAATGAGCGCATGAACTGATAGAATGTTTCAACTCATGCGAGTAAACACTTTTCTGTATCTAGTCATTTTATTTGCAGTGAAGCAAACATTCCGAACTTTGACGGCGGTCGTATTACTCCTTTATAATTGGTTTGTTTGTTTGACCCCTTGTTTATATGTTTTGACAGTCCACACCTTGTATTTGCCCCACAGCATCTGCCCTTTTGCCATTAAAGGTGACCGTGTTGCCATAGAAATAGGGGCTGTGCATCAATATTCCGCTCATGATGTGCCACGACACACGGTCTCCTTTGCACATGCGCAGACCTTGTTGATTGCCGAAAACATATCCATTAACGTCATGCATCTTGTTACTGTTAATGTAAGCCACGTCACCTAAAAAACAACAACAATTTCATGATAAAGGCACACCTTACAATGAAGTAAAATGTAAAAAATTTATTCATTGAATGATTCATCGCCTGACCGATTGGTTGATCGACAGATACAATAAAGTACACCATAGCAGAGTCATTCTGCTCGATAATTTGGTCATAATAAGGTCATGTTTACGTCGTTTCTGTGCTGCAAATAGTTGTTGACATCTGTCCAAAGGATTTTATTCTAAATAAGTAAACTAAGTAAGTAAACCATCTTTCCCAAGTCAAGCGTTGAAAGTTGCGCTGTAGACTGAGCATTAACCAGAGAACTTGACATGCTCTCTCACACATTAAATCTTTCCTCAATAAAGGCGACACAACAATTTTTTTCCAGCGCTTTCTCTCAGCAGGCAAAGTGTGATAAGTAGAATATGACAAAAGAAAATTTTTTAAAAGCCTATGACGTTACAGTACAGTCCTAATGAATACATACTTTCGTCTATAGAGGATGGATCGCCGGCCAGTTCCTTATTATCATCGTAGTACCAGGAATTTTTTTCTAAGGTAACAACAAAATGTAGAACAAACTCCTTATCCACATTCTTTTGCTTGTTTTTGGAGTCCAAACTTCCTTTCTCGCAGATCAGCAAGGGACCAAAAAGACCTAAAAGCAGGAAAAATAAAAAATTCAATAAATTCCGTAGCTTATAAAGATACGAGAAAATGGCGCATCCATGATGGTGGCAACAACTACAGCGAAAGACTTCTAAGAAGGAAACCTCTAGGAACAGGGCGTCACTCGATTTATCTCAGCCAATTCATCAGTCCTACAGAGAACAAAACGAAAATTTTCGCCACATGTTTTTCAGTATAACGTATAAAACTTTCATTTGAATATCGAGCTCAAAGGAGGAGACAGAGGAGTCTGAAGAGATTGATTCACAAATATAGCTACCAGAAAATATTCTGGTTTATGGAAATTTCAGTGACTAAGAGTCACGCCTGCCTCTCTCGTGTAGGATACTGGTCTACTGCAGGTTTACTCCCCTTCACCCCCACTCCCACCCCCACTGTCTTCGCCAGCATCTACTTAGATCTCTCTGACAGTCTGCTGGTGACAATTCCTAAATAATTCAATTAGTAATTAGCGAAGTGTCTTGCCCAAGAGAAAAACACAAAACGACGTCCAGTAGGCTATACCTAGGCCACCGCGTTATCTATACGCAGTCATGAATTCTGTCATGACTTAGTGCGTACCTGAATATCTGTCCTTCGTTGGGTTCACACTTGACAAGTACATTCTGGTTAAACACTGTGCGTCTGTATCTCTGGGACCCATTTCCTCGGGTATAGTCCACTTGTATGTAAACGTTCCGTTTGGCCTTATTTCGTCATCATCCTTGTCTTTCCCGGATGTACCATCCTCATACAATGCTCCTTCGTTAGATTTGTTATAAAGCAATCCGATTGGATGAACACTGTAGTTTCTTGACGCCTAAAATTTACACTCTATATTACTTAAAAGTTTTTCCGCAATTCTGCATTAAGTAAGCGCATTTTACATCGCAAAAAATCAGCGAGGGCCATTCATGTTTGCGAGAGAGAATGATCTTTTTGTATGTGTAAGCACGCTCGCGAATTAGTACATAGATGCTGCAAACACGTTAGAAATTGTGAAAATGCCTGGGATAAGACATACATGTTGTACACCATTTATCGTAGGAGTTTGGTTTAATAAAGGTTACCGTTAGGTGAACTTACATGAATCGAATGCGCCTACTGATATATTAGGTAGAGTTAATTACACGCCTATTAATTCGTGAAGCCGACGTTAAACTGACCTTGTTGCGAAAGACCACCTCTATAGTGTCTCCAACCTCTCCACGGACAACAGGTCCCAACGAACCAAGATGGATTTCATCTTCAGTGCGATTCTTTGGAGTGATAAACGTGTCGTCTGTGTACTCGATAAAGAGAGCTTTTTTGTAGGTGCCTCCAATTCTGTTGTTGCTCTTAATGAAGTACCTTGAAGAATCACTAGTGCAAACACGCATTTGGATAACAAAGTGACATCAGAAAAAACAGAAGAAGTTGCTATCACACTTATCGCCCTGTTTTTTGTCCCTTGTTACTTAGCTTAATGTGGCTTTTAATTTTTTTGGATGTTGAACTCTGTCTGTTTTCGTTATCTACCAGGTATAATTCAATTACAATAAAACGTAGAATGGAACCTTTGCGTTTGTCCAAATCAAGCTAATTTGGACTGAATTAATTTACCCTGACTGTTAAGAGCATCTTACAGTTTTCTCAAACTTTTAACATATTGATAACCGCGCTTAAAATCTATCCAAGTTACCTCCCGGGCTTTAATAGATCATCTCCAGTTATTTGGTTTACTCCGCTAGGACCATAATTCCACATCTTTTCTTCGGCAGCGATAAAGTATCTTCGCGTGCGACCTCCGCTAGCGATTGGTACTTTAATATCGCGGTCACATTTGGTTACGTTGAACAAAGCATACATCCCTCCGTCGTAGTTACTGGTCACCATGCAGTTCAAGAGCCAAGTTCCCGGATTTATGGCGGTCATACTTGCTGTCACAAACGTGGCAGGAAAAAGAGTGGCAACACTTCTGAGATGTTTGTCAATTGTAAACGTCTGGCCGTGAAAATATGCTGCAGCGGATTGGATACAATATATGGTTACTCAAGTGTCCAACACAACTTTTATAAGGGTAATTATTACTCTTCATCACACAAATGTTCAAGGGTATGAGAGCAACCTCCCTCCCTATATTGTTCGACTTGAGCCATTTTCCACTTAGTTAGATCTACTGAAAAAGAGGAATTTGATAAGCTTTTGTGGCAAACACTTCTCAGAGACCAGCCTGCAGAGAAGCACGAGGGGTTGTGGCTGGTCAGGCTCAGCGGAGTACTTTATCCGACTTGCTATGTGCTACTAAATTTTACGGCGATGGGGCCTAAAAAGATCAAAGAAACTCTATGCAGGTCTATCGTAATTATTCAAACAAAGTTAAATGTCGTGAACAAGAAGGCCAATTTGTTTTTGCCTTGATGATTTTTTCCCCATATTTTTATAAATTTTTCCCACAGCAATAGCTCTGACGAAGGGCTAACGCTCGAAACGTCAGCTTTTTCACCCTTTACGGTGGCTAATTTACGTTTTCAACTCAGTTGTTAACACTAAATTACCTGCTATACTCTCCCACCGACGCAGCACCACAGTTTCTTTAGAAACTTTCCCCTTTATTAAATAAAGTATTTCCACTAAAAATGCTTCCCTTATGTTTAATTGGGGATGCACCAATCACGGAATTACAAATACAAAATCCAGAATCTAGAGTGAGAAAGGTGTGGCAAAGAGAGCGGAGTCAATGAAAGTCTGAAGAGCAGGTTTACAAGAAGGGAATAAAAGGCGAGGAGAAAAAAATTTGGATTTGTCAAATGATTCGTTGGAATACGTTAGCTAATAGAATTTAAAAAAATAAACAACAAATTGACGAAGTGACAAGTTTCAAGAACCTGTGGGTAAAACTGTTTACAGAAGTTAAAAGATTATTACCTCCGTGAACGTCAGTATCAGTGCCGATGCCTACCATATGCCAGCTTATTTTGTCTCCAAGGCACAAATCCAGACCTTCTAAGTTACCAAACACTCTGCCATTGATACCATACATTTTATTGCTTTTTACAAATCCACCATCTGTTTTTTTCTTCATGGCTCCGTCAGGATCAGTGCAAAATTGTTTGATATTTTTATCAAGAAGCCAACTCTTGTTCTCGTCCATTACAGTAAACAACACAACGAAATCCTTGTTTACATCTGTTCGAGCCCCAGTGTTTGCATCTAAGGTTCCCTTCTTACAAGTTAAGATTGCCCCTGTTCGTCGAGAGAAAAAGTTAATATTTTACAAGACTGAAAACAAACTGGGGATAATACTGACCACAGTGTTAAACAAAATCCCCATAAGAAAAAAACTGAGTTTAAGGTACGCTGGGTTTAGGAACCGTCAACATTATTCACCACGGACTGAAATAAGGGGATACTGTAAACTACTCACCAATTAAACCAGTGTTGATATCTGGAGCGGGTTTGACATGTGAATGGTACGCCCAAGTGAGGCAGTTCTCATCACTTTTAGTCGGTGCGTGAGTTTCTGGAATTGTCCACAGATAAACACGTCTCCCACCTGGTTGAACGTGATCGTCCTCTTTCAGGTCTCCCTGAGTATGATCATTATAGAGGGCTCCCTCTGAGGCCTTATCATAAAAGACTCCATGCGGGTGCATCGTGAAGGGGCGGTCTGAGGCCATGTTCTTGAAGTGAACCTCTAGAGTATCACCAACTTCAGCTTTTATTATGGGACCAAGCAGTCCTAAGTACTTTGGATGAGGTTTTTGCTTCGTGAAGGTCCCATCGGTGAACTCTCTGTAAAGGACCTTACGATAGACCCGTCCTATCCTGTGATGGCCTGACACAGTAAATTGAGACCCATCACTGGAAAGGAAAAGTAGATTATTTGAAGGTCCCATTTACACAACATGCGAAAGGCTGCTTTATCCAAAATTTCTGCATTGCAGGGCCAATTGTATAAATTCATCCGAAAATTCAGCTCATATGATACGTATATTTATGCCTACTACTCCATCCTTGTCAACCATTAGGAGTCGAAAAGATAAATACATTTTGTGCCTTGAGTTTCTATTGAGAACCACACCCGTACATCGCTCGACTCTTTATTGGGATAAAGTTTTACAAAGATAATCCAAAGGGAAACGAAAAATGCACGACAGTTTAAAAAATAGAGAAGTCTTGTCTGTCTTAAAGCACACAGGAAGCGGCTAGAGCACGAAAGAAGTGTAGGGGGGAAATAGGAGACGTAGTTGAGTCTCTTTACTTCTTGAGTGCTCTAGCCGCTTCCTAAGTGCTTTACAACAGAACAAAGCACAGTCAAGGCTTCTCTATTTGTTTCATAATAAAGCTTAAGAACCCGTTAAATTCCCCACACACTACTTTTAATTTTCAAAACAAACCCTATTTCCAAAGCGAACAACAGTGTCGTCAGCATGCTCTATACTCTCATAAAGCTCGCTACAATAAGCCAATCAGAATCCCTGTTAGAATGGTTAGAATAATCTGATTGGCTGTACAAGACTAAAGCTGTCAAAAATGTCAAACCATCATAGTTCAAAAACCATCAAAGTTCACATTCTTCAATAGTTACAAACTTAATGGTTCGGCAGGTCGAATTTAACTCTTTCGCCTGAAGCCTTTTAGTCTTCATTAAAGAATCGTAAAGTAAAATGTTCAGTGAAATCCGGCCGAATTATGGCTCATAAGAACACGCAAGTTTTTTTTCACATGACAATTAGAGGAAAAACTGTTCAAGCGTGTGTTTTATGAATGAACTACAGCCGAATTTACCGGAACATGATGATCGCTCGGGATGACAGAGCCATAAAACTCGGCTGCAGTGACTGATGTGGCTTTCCACTCAACGCATCGGAAAGGATATCAGAGCAAGCTCTTAGTTGTTCTCTCAAAGGGCGGCCGATGTAATTTCTGAGGCTTACTTGACTGCGATGACCGGAGATCGCCATGATGAGCTAGCCGCGTTTGACCTCAACTTGACACTGTCATGATTAGTATGGACTTCAACGGTTATGCTAGTTTGGCTATATTTTTCATCTCCATATTGTTTTTTCTATTTTGTTTTTGAACACGAAACTATAATATACTACAAGAGAGTTAGCTGTGTTTGATTTTTATTACCGTGCGTGAAAACCTTCAAAACTCGGACTGTCCATTTCGTTTACTCTTTGAGGATTTTCGTCTCTGCTCACGTTATAATAACGTCAATTACAGTATGTTTACAAACCTTTGTTCGGTTCTTCTGTTGTATTTGCCGACTTGCCTGTTCCGAAATTTCACATTCAATTAAAGAAAAAAAACTAAGGAAAAGTCCTGGAGAAAGTCGGACATAGTATAATTTGGCAGATGGCGTGATGGCCTCAGCTCAGCCCTATGCTCTATACTCTCATAGAGCACGCTCTTTCAACCAATGACAGCGCACGTCATATCCGAATTCATATCAAAATCAATTTATGGAGTCATTTATGGCACAATTTATCTTTAAGAGGTTCCGTAGGGTCTTTTGATCGCGCGAGATCTGGGTGTGAACATAGCGCGAGCTTTAAAAGTGACAACATGCAAAACAAACATGGCGGCTCAATACGATCGCACGATTGTTATCAGAAAAGGTGTGTTAGAATCAGTTTAACTTATTGCAGTTTTTATCTAATAGAACCTAGGGTTTCTAACAACTGCACCCGTAATATTTATAAGCATTCTACCCCTGAAAAAGAGGTCAACCGAAAAGAAAATAAGGTGGGAAAGATTGTCAAAAGGCGACAGGTCTTAGCGAAGTTCTATTCCATTACGTAATGTTCTGTGACAAAGAAAATAAGGATCTTTCGAGTAACATTTATAGCGTTTCCTTCGGTGGAATTTCCTAAGATTTGCTGGCTCGTCCGTCAAACATATTTGTTTCCTTCCTAGTGCCTCTAGGAAAAAAATTCATAAGACCAAATCTGAGATAGAGGAAGAAAACACAAAATTGCAAATAGTTAGAAAACTGCCTTTGTAACCCTATTTTTCTCGGCTTTTAAATGATCGGCAGGACAAATTTCACAAGTTGTGAAAATTTTAAGACATTTCACTGAAGCAAATTGGAGAAAATCAAAGGCAAAACCAAATTATCACTGGTGAGCGCCTCCTTTCGTCGAACCTTAGTTTACAGCAAGCGATAGTCCAAACCCTGCTCATTGCCTTTTGATGGCTTTTAGTGACCTTTAAAAGCGAAAACAAAAAATGTTTCAGAAAAACATTACGCTGGCGCGCGCGCCAACATTTAGCGAAAACCCTACGGAGCTTCCTTCAGCAGGTGCTCGATTATTTCGCTTCAACCCGTTATTCTATGAATATGCAGGCTGTACGAATGTACAATTTTTGTAGTTTAGCATCACTGCATTAATTTTGATCGTTTTGCCGATTTATGCCTCCCCGTACGGAGATAGCGTACGCGACTATAGGAATTATAACTTTGAAGTACAGGTTTAAAAGATCTTGTTTGGGTAACAACCTGCTCTTCTTCATAACACCTAGTTTACTAGCAAAGCTCTTCTTTAGTCCCTTAAAATTAATGGACCAGCCCAGCTTGTCATCAATATCCACACCCAGGAGTCCACTGTGTGTTATCCATTCTAAGTTATTACCTCCGAGGCAATAACTTAGAGGGGTCAGTCAACGATCCTCTGTAAATCAAAATGTATTCTTTGATTTCTTTGAGTGTGGTGTCAGCTTTTTCCTCAGGCACCAGACCGTACAACTCTGTTAGGGATTGATTTAATGCAGCAGACACTTCGTCTGTGGTCTATGGTCTTCCCGATGCAATATATGGTGGTGTCGTCCGCGTACTTACAGATGGACCCAGGTCGATGACTGGACGGACTCAACAAGATCGCTTGTGTAGAAAGTAAAGATATAACGTGGGCTCCAAGACGATCCCTCGGAGGATGCCAGAAGACACTGAACGGAGGCGTAACCTTTGCCTTTTTAAAACCGTATACTGTTGTCAAGCTCGTTCGCAAAATCTCGCACTCACTCGCCACAAAATACCTCTGCTAAGCAGATACATCTAGGGGCTCGCATAACTGCATATCAGTTTTAACGTAATTATTTTTAGGCGGCTTGTTTGTAATAATCAAAGGTTTCTTTGTTTCAAATGATGCGCTGTGAAGTGAATGCTAATCAGTATGTAGTAATTAGTGGCGATGAATAAACACATAAAAGATGATGGATAAGCTTAATTCTTAACCGGTCTGCGTCTCTAAGATTTGTGAAGGTTGACAAGCTGGCACAAATTTTGCGTGAACGATTGCATATCAGCTAACGTTGCCAAACATGGATGGAATTCGTTTTTAAAGCAGTTTCGGCATATAATCTGTTGACATGTGTTAGAGCAATGTCTGACCAAGATCATTTTTAAGCGGTTCACGTTACTTCTAAATATGGAAAATTATGCAGCACAACAAGAATATCTTAGAATGCTTTTAAATCAGTTTAAGACTTGAATTGTATTCAATACTCATGAATCTTGAATGTTAATAATTCAGGCTCTCTGACTGGATTTGTTTCAACTTTGGATTTAATCTGTTGGCATCTGCTTGGGTAAAATTTCCGCACAGCCCACGGCCATACTACATTATGCAATCAGTTCTTGAATTGAGAAAACAATGAAAAAACAATACATTTCCATTAGGAAAACAGATTTTTTTTTACGACAGCATGGGGCTGTGCGGAAACTTTACCGCTGCTCGAACAATATCTGACCAAGATATGATCTTTGGGGGTTCGCGTCACGAAAGTGTTTATTAACCTTCTAATTAGTGACAGTTGAGCAGGATAACGGGAATGTCTGAGAATGTGTTTAAATTAGTGTGCGACTTGATTGGTATTCAATTTCTCGAATCTTGGTACGTCCAAAAATTCGCTAAAAAATCTGCTCAGAGTAAACAAAATTGAACCAGATCACGCACCCCTGAAAGCTAACAAAGGGTGTTACAACAAAGGTAAAAAAAAAACAGACTGACAGAGGCTGGTAGCTATATATTACTCTTGATCAGTTTTTAATTCGCTTTCTTCATATGAGAGTAATCAATAATAACACAAATGCAGCTTCGGAAAAAAACAGCGTCCTACTGAAGATTTGAATTGAATCGATGCTGAAAGTTCAGTTTTGCTAGCAGTTGCAAGTTTTGCAAAGAAAAATATTACAGTGGCGCAAAAATGATCAAAATGTTTACCTGTCGTCCTCCAGTGGAACTCCATTAAGGTTGTTAAATCCTGTAGGTGCGTAATTCCAATCCATCTCAACTGCTGCGATGAAATACTCCCTTTTCTTTGAAAGGCAGCCTCTATAAAGGACAGTTGCTAGCAAAGCAAAACCCGATAGGAACTGTATGAACGATGACATAACGCGTACAACAACGATACGTTCTAATCAGTGAATGTAGATGCTATAGTCAACAGCCGAAACGCTTCACTGCGGAAATATCTAAGAATAAATGACCGTCGGACCTGTGTAAGCGGCACCGTATTGAGGTTACTTCCCACCTTCGCGGGTGTCCCTCGGGAAAAATTCGTACGCGCGCTAGTTTCTCTGAAATCCCAGCAAACTAGACGTCAGAAGAAAGCTTAAGAAGAAGTCTCTGTAAGACCTGCTTGTTCGAGGCCTAGGTCTCAAAAAGGTCGCAAAAAAAGAGTGAAATGTTTATTTCTTTATCTCAAGCTAATAATACAACATTACAAATTGGCACACCAATAGATTATTTATCTCGGTACAGTTTCGGTCATTTTTGTTGTCGGGTAAAACTCGGAAAACGTTTATCTGAATTTCTCAAAAAGTACACCGATTCTGGAAATGAAACTACCCACCTAGCTGGTTATAATATTCTAGTTTTTAAATATGTAAAAATCTCTGCGGGCCTACCTCTACTTTTTATAGGGGCAATTCGCGAAAAAAGCCCAAAATCAGATATTGCATAATTCGGCAATATTTACATCTAATGTTCTCAACAACAAACGATTCAGACAAATGAAACGTGTGAGGCTTGGAAAGAATGTTATCTTATGAGCAATATCTCGAATAGAAATCTGATGGTCATCTTTTTAAAAAAATTGATCAACCTTCATGGAGGACAACTCGACGTAACTAAAAACATATACCTCAAATCGTGTGCATATCGTCTAGATTCCAAGTGCTGCACCTTCTTTCATGGGAATTTGAGCAATCCGAAATCCTCTGAAGATACACTGTTATACTTGTATGCCATTTGAAACATGTTGAGGTCGGCTGATCTACACGAAACTATCCTCACACCGGTCATTTGTCATAAACATGTACGTTATCACGATGCTGTATTTCTCCGTGAAGTTTCCATCAGTCGTTCCAAAGAAGACAAGAAATGGATATTTTTCATATATTTTAGCAGATTTCCGCTTTCTGAAGTAAAAACAACCATAATAAAGAGGAAAACTTCGATTGAACGCTCGCAAACACTGAGAATCTGAGAGTATAAATCGTGACTTGTCAGTGGCAGTATTACATGTAAAACCTAGTTGCAATAGCAATTTGAACGACACTGGGCATCTCCTTACAAAGAGCAGATTCGGGCAGTTATCATTTCCTTTTGACAGGAACTAAGATATTTCGAATCATCTGAAAACTGTCAGAAAACTGTTAGAAAATTTGCATTAGATATGATGAGGAGAGACTTATCACCGCCGCGGTGCAATCGAGTCAATCAATGTTTCCTTCCATGTCTTGATAGAGAGAAAATCATAACAAAGTTCGAAATAAAAGATTTAATGAAATCATAATGTCATAATTCCACCTTTAAAACAACTTATTATCCACACGTAAATCGCAACTTGTCCCTTGAACGAAACTCTCCATGGTTAATATGTAATCTGGATTGCTTCATGTCCTTCAGGAAAAAGAACAGCGATTTCATCACCATTATTTTTCATACTTTTCTCCCGGATATCTCTTACAAGCTTTAAGAAAGATGAATATAATGGAATCTTCCAGTGATTTACTGGAGAGGAAGTTAAAGGTCTCTTTAATTTTCCCCTGAGGTGGCCAGCTCACCAGGAAGAAAAAGGAGATCGTTCGGTCCAATAACGTTGGTCTGTAGAGATTATCAAGCTAATAACTGAGAAGATTGTGCCCTTTGGTTCATCAGTGACAGCATTAATTATTTCAAATCTGTATTTCTCGGTCCAAGCGACATGATAGCTCGCTTTGGGAAGCCTGTTCCAGTGTTATGCATGATAAACAACTACATGATCTACTACATCTACCAGGCACACAGTCACAGAATTTTGCAGTGGAATGATAGCATCCTCAACCCTATTCAATGGAAATATACAATAATGCCATAACAGCTAAGGGATCCCCCTTGGATAACTGTTTTGGCTTTATTGATGGGACAGTTAGACCAATAAGCAAGCCTGGCCAAAATCAGCACGTTGTCTACAATGGTCACAAAAGAGTTCACGGTGTAAAATTCCAATCCGTGGCATTACCAAATGGAATTAATGGAAATATGTATGGACCAATCGGTAAGGGAAATGGAATATTAAATTACCCTTCAGTAAAAGACCTGAAAATTTTTCAATCTAAATGTTTTTAATTTGTCTTTTTTTTTTTATTTCATAGAGGGCAGACGACACGACGCTGCCATGCTAGCAGACTCCAATATTCTTCAAGATATGCAACGCTATGCTTTTTCACGTGAGCCAACGGGTCATCTACTTTTGTGTTTATGGAGACCCCGCCTACCCATTAAGGGTGCGCCTCCAGACCTCTTTTAGAAACATGATACTCACTCCACAGATAGTAAATTTTAATAAGGGTATGAGCTCTGTGAGAGTCTCTGTAGAATGGCTCTTTGGAGACATAGTTGAGTACTTCAAGTTTGTAGATTTCAAAAAGAACCTCAAGATTAGACTTTCTTCAGTAGGAAAGATGTACAATGTTTGTGCCTTATTAAGAAATGCATTAACATGCTTATAAGGAAACACAACCTCCGAGTTTTTTGAGCTGGATCCACCCACCTTGAAAGGATACTTTGCTTAATTCTAGGGATTATAAGGACTTGCCACACGTTAAAGAGTATTAATACATTCTACTGTAGGGGTTGATGGGATGAAGGGGGGGAAGTATAATATCCTTTCTCATGTTTGACCCCAAGGGTAATTTAAAATAAAAGTTACAGAGAGCTACATGTAGGTACTAATGAAGTCAAACTACCTCTAAAATAACTATATATTTTCCAAATACTTTTGGTCTGAATTTTAAAATGACCTCCCCTTCCCCCCTCTCCAAAAAATTCTAAAATCTTGCTGTTGCCACAAAAAAAGAACAAATATGCAACCAAAGCAAATATGAAAATCGAATATTTCACACTTAATAAATGGTTTGCTCCTCCCTATGCCTTAATCACATTTCCATGTACCCCCTCTGCCTAGGTAGGGGGGCTTGTGACCCCATATGTTTTATAGGCCATACCCAATATCCAGATCCAAAATTATTTTAAGTAATCCTCATCCAGTGTCATCCATTAGTCATTACCGGGTCAAGAATAAAACTAATTGGCCACTTCAGTTTTTGCAATAAATTTGCCATCTACGCATGCCATGAATCAGTTTGTATTTTTCCTAAGAGAGAATGTCACTTAAGAGAGAAGGATCACCATAGAGATCACTAGTGTAATTATATACCAGCACTAACAACCATAAAAGACTGGCACACCAGGGAATATTGCCATAGTCCTTCCAAATGCTTACTTTTGAATATGAACTCTAATTATCTTAACCCAATAGAGAACAACAAACAATGGTGCTTTGTTCTGAGCATGATAAAGGTATATGTTGTGGTTTAATTTTATCCTTGGTTCAATATTATGTATCGTAACATGAAAATGAGAGTAAAGCAAAGAGAAAGACAAATTGAAACAAGGATAAAATTGAACCACAACAAATACATACTATATCAACTTAAACTAAACTTAACATGTTTTTATTCTGCCTACTTCTTCTTGGCAAGCTCTTGCAGCACAGCCACCAGTGCCTGGTTCTGTTGTTGTTACTGCATTATGGTGATTTGCATCTGGCTTAGCTGTTGAAGCTGCTGATGTTGCTGCTGCTGGAGGTTAGCAAACATTGTTCACTGCTGCTCCTGTTGATGGATCAGTTGCTGTGTCATTTCCTCTTGCCGCTTTGCTTGGGCACACTGCTCCTGTTTTTTTAGTTCTATCTCTTCTTGCCTGATATTGAATTCTTTTCCCGACTTCTCCCTCAGATATACCAAGGTCTCTGCTCCAGATCTCCTTGTTCTTTTCTCCTTTTTTTGGGCTCTTCACTAACATCATCACCGACCACTCTTTTTCTTGTTTCTCCAACTTTCTCCAAAGCCTTGGCCCTAATATCCTCCACTTGCTTTTTCTCTTTGTCTACATTGGCTTTTTTTCCTCTCTCTCTGCAGCCTCGGCTTCCTCACATATTTCTTCAACTGCTGCATCAAACTCTGAGAGCTCATCAACTGCTATTCCGCTGGCCTTGCTTTCTTCTGCAACCTTTTTTTTGTGTTTCTTTATTAGAACCAGGTTTACACAGTCTCTTACAGACCTCACAGAAACCGAGAAACGGGGCTCATACACTGCACTCAGGTTTAAGACAGTTTCTTTCCACAGTTTCGCTCTCTCCTTACTTCCCTTTGGCTGGCTATACGGATCAACAGTTAGCACTTTTCTTATTAAAAGAAGATCCTGATCTTTCGTCCAGTACATTGGAGTAGTCGACCTTAAACATAAACAGAGTAGATTCAACTCCCAGTACAAAACAGCTGACAAAACACACTTATCATAGGGTCACCTTTCAACTTTAGAAAAAATAATAACCCGCAGAATACAGGGCAACTTTTCGTGGTTTCATAATAAGTTCCGCTGGTTTAATTTACACAAAAAACGAGCCACGAAACCTATATAATAAAATTGTATAACCTTTTTTAAATTGTCCCTTTCTATGAAAATACAGACTAGTTAATTAAATGCTCTCATCCGCTGATGATAAAGCGGCTGAAGCCTCGAAACGTCAAGATATTTTTTTTCTTTATTTTATAAGCGCATTGGATTATTTTCATCTTTACAATCTCGAACATTTTTACAAGCGTTACGCAGTCAAAAATTTTAAAGTTTTTGTTGCACTAAATGCAGATTGTCGAGATAAACGAGCCACTGGATTCGCCTTCAAAAGAGGCTCTGCCGCTGTGATGTTGAACCCTAAAATACGTTATATAACCTAAACATACAGTATTTCATACTCCTACAAAGTAAATTGGAAGAAAATATTCTCGGTAGAATGGCTCGACAAAATTCTTCAAAATTGTGCTGGCAGATAAAAAAAAAAACA